TTGGAATTTTAGCCTCTGCCTAGATAGCTGGAAAAATGTAGGGTGTCCCAAAAAAAGCACATACCCACACTTTGAATAATTACAAAGGCAGTGTTTATTAAAATACATTTCACTTTCAAAACTGAGCCAGCAGCTCTTAAAGTTTGTATACATATTTGGGGGGAGACCCTGTATTAGTGAAACAGAAGTGCATGTAATTCTCTAGACTTAGATATAGTCCAATTAAATCCAATCCAACTTTATATGTAATTCTGATAAGTGACTTATAAATTGTTCATTTTAATTTATTGAGGTTATATAGAAGACTCTCATGACTTAGGAATCTGGTCTGTTTCTATTTTTAGTTTACTTTTCAGAATATTGTGGTCATCAAACCTTTTGTTGTTGTTGTTAATCCTCACCTGAGGATATTTTTCCATTGATTTATAGAGAGAGTGGAAGGGAGGAGAGACAGAGAGAGAAACATACATGTGAGAGAGACATATGGATTCATTGCCTCCCACATGGGCTCCTACCAGGGCCCAGGATCAAGCTTGTAACTGAGGTACGTGCCCTTGGCAGGAATTTAACCCGGGACCCTTCCGTCTTCAGGCTGATGCTCTATCCACTGAGCCAAACTGGCTTGGACATCAAACATTTTTGATCATTCATCACATGCCTGTCACTGCTGCATGTTGGTTTTGTCTAGCAGACCTCAAGTAGAATCCAGTCTGCAGAGATATCTGTTTAGGACTTATAGCTTTGAAAATATTTTAACGCTTCAAAATAAATACATGAAAATCCAAATATCACATTTCTCTCTTAAAAATGGAAGATTTAACAGTGGAGATTTCTACACTGCTAAACCCAGTTGTGGTAGGAGGGCAAAGGTAAACATTTTAAAGAAAAAAAGAAAGAGAGATGCTTACTTAAACATTTAAAAGACTATATCAAATAAAACAACTTGTAAAGAATATTTTTATATGAGTAGCTCACAGTGTAATTACATATTTTTATTATAAATATAGTTATATATATCTGCAAATATTGAAAATCTGTAAATAATCAGTAAGGAAAAAAATGCTAAAATTAAAAAATGAACAAATTGTAGGGATATGCCATTCCAAAAAATAAATTCTAATTTTAGAACTATATAAAATATTTAGGTTTAATGGTAATAAAAAAAATTCAAGCTGAAACAACAAAAATAGCTTTATGTTTTTTGGCAAATATTTAATGTGTTTATTTTATTCATTTACGTGTCAGTATTAAATGTTAACTATATGTTGTATCGAATATTAACAGGGGTATGGGAAATACACTGTCTCATGAGCATCACTGCTGGTTAAAGCACAAGAGGCAGAAACTTTCCGGAGGGCCATTCTGCAGAGTGTATAAAAAATTTTATATCCTTTCAGCAGTAATTCTACTCAATAGTCAAAGATGTTCACAATATTTTTATATGAGGTTTTTCATGTGCAGCATCATTCACAATAATTAAAACTGGATTTATACCAAACTTCTAACAATAGGGGATTGATGAAATAATCTATAGAGGAATGCGGTATAGCTATTAAAAGTAGTGTTATAAAAAGGAATTTAATGACATGGGAAAATGCTCGTGGCAGCCTGTGAGGTGAAAAAAAAAAAGTGTTTTAAGGGGCTATGTAAACAATGATTTCATTCTGAAATAGTAAATAGATAAGATAGAAGAATAAACATCAAAATGTCACCAGCTACCTCTGGGTAATGTTCATGGGGGAGGAACTATTTACGGATGATTTCTATATAATTTGCAAACTTTCTACAATGAACACTTTGTTTTACTTCCAGATGTTCTTTAAAAAATGTAGTCACAGCACTGTAGAGAAGCAAGAGCCTTGAACTCTATGTCACGGCTCTATTGACAGGTTGTGTGTCTCCGCGGTGAACCGACTGAGGCCAGGCTGTCTGCACCCTGTGCGTTCTTTGCCTGGAGTGACCCGTTTACCCCACCCTTCATCATCAGGACTAAAGGCACTTCTTTAGTGACTCTTTTGAAAAATATTCTAAGCAGAAACAAAGTACGACCGAACAGCTTCCTGGCATCCCTTTCCTTCCCTGCATTGATCTGGGAACTGTGTTCAAGAAAGTGGAATAGTTGTCTTTTGTTTCCTCATCTTCTACTCTCTCCTCACCCCAATTAGCGAACTCTCATTATGGTAAATAATTCACTGTTTTTCAGTTATATAGTACCTTTGTGTAAAGGCATAGTCTTTCCAAACACTTGTTAATCCTAAACACACTCTGGGGAAGTAGGTAAAAATTACTAGAGAGAAGGGAAAAGAGAGGGCAATGCCAAAGGTAGTAAAAAATGTCCATAAAACCCCACACTTGTCTCAGTGTTCTGCTGGCAGACACCTCTGCAATGCTGAAGAATGAGGATCTATGTTATGGTGACACTGAGGAGAGAAATGACTGGAGAGATAATACAGATTTCAGACCTCAGACATAAAGTGCAGACTTAATGCGTGGGATATAGTGTGGTGTAAAAGCGCAGACTGTGGGGGCCAGACTTCTGGATTCAATTCCTGGCTTCACTATTTACTAGATATGTGATACCGGGCAAGTCATTTAATGTTTCTGGCCTCAGTCTTCTCATCTAGAAAATGAGAAATAATAATAAAATCTAGCATACCACATAGTCATAGGGATTAAATGAGATTATAAATATAAAGAATGAAAAACAACTCTCAGAACATGGTAAGTGTTATAAAAGTGTAAGCTATTCTTAGTAACTCTAATGTAAAATTATTTTAAAGGGACAAATTGAAAAGGAGACAAAGGCTTATATTATCCCTACATGATTCAACGGCAAACTTTGTAGACTTCAGCAAAATGAGCAAAACTCCCCAAATCTCTAATCCTGGGTTGGCAGGAGGTGTGCTTAAAGGTTAGAGGTTATTACTAAGCCCCCGATACAACTGAAATGGAAGAGTGGTTTTCATATGCTGGGTCCTACGTATTCTAGGATGCTACCTTCAGAAAAAAATATCGCCATTTGCTTTAACTTAGTCATAGGGGCAACTGAGTTACTGTATAACTAGAATTGGTGAATATCCTGAAATGGTAACACAGTCACAATTAAAACCTTCACTGACTGTTTGACCTTGAGTGTTTATCCCTCATCTACTCCCCGGGAAAACTGACATTAGTTTCTTGGAGTAAATTTGAACCACCCTTTCCCTATTTGCCTCCTTATCATACACTCGAAACTGGTGAAACACAGAATGTTAAGGTGTTTGTACTGTTTATGCCAAACTTTCACAGTAAATCAACAAAATAATTTGGAAACTCTCATGCGCAAAGCATCTTTCCCAACCCCCTACCCCCACCCCCTTGATGTCATAAATTATCGAAACTTTTGCAGACCTGGGCACTTGTTTGCAGTTGGGATGGTGAACAGGGTGGAGAGATAGAGACATGGGAGAAAGAGAAATATATTCCAGGACAGCTTTATCTCTTTCATTTCTGATGAAATAAACACAAAAACTGTTCCCTATTGCATTTGATGCTAACACTCCCTGATGCATTTCTGCTAACATAAATGTGTCTGAAAAGGTCACATTTAATACTGACTGAATACCTAGTCAGGCGTAATTAAAACTTTGTTTAGTTTTGATAATTTTATTTTGCAGTACTGTGACAGTGTGTAAGATCAGTTGAGTAATATCTGTATCCCTCATTATACCGAAAGCTCCATGAATGACAGCAGATCCTCTATCAGTTTCATACATATATTTATGCACATATTCAGGCTCTTAATAAATATAAGTTGAATAAATGACTGTCCAAGTAAGTGAACAAATTTGTTGTCTCAGATTCTTAGTCTTCTAACCTTCCCCTCCATTCATTGGGCACCACGTGTCCTATTATATTACTTTTATCACATTAATAAAGTGAGAGTTTTAAAATGTAATTATGCTTTCATATAACACACACTAGTTGTCATTAAATATTAAGACATTGCTCTGCTTAATACGCCTGTGTTATTGTGGTTACAGGCAACATTAGAGGATGTTGCAAAAGAAGCCTCAAGATGTCCATGTTTCTCCCCAAAGTTAGAACCTCTTATCATCTTGAGTTACATTCAGGAAGTGATTTATTTGCCAAAAAAAGAGAGCAATTCTCCCTATCACCATAGTGCAAGAAGTCAGGGCGGAACACAGAGCATCTGGCCTGAATCAGAGCGCTCAGATGAGAAGAGGCAGCCAGAGCCACAGCGCTGCAGTCATCGCTGGAGATAAAACAGGCAACACAGTTTGGGGGAGCATGCAGGACAACTTGGACAATGCAAAGGCAATCCAGAGAGGTCACCCCAAACATGCTTAGGTTAGTCACACTGATCTAAGGCTTTTCCCTGGTCCCTAAGGCAGCTTAGGCTAGAAGTTTATATTAGGACCCCACAATTTATCCTTAAAAGTTACTTTATATAACTGTGCCTTAGTAAATTTTAGAGTAAAATATTTCTAGTTTTCGTTCCAGAATGTTGTCATTCATTTTCAACCAATCTTTCTTAATATCTCTGTATGCCAAGTTTTGAAAGAATCCTGCTAGATTTTGTAAGTTTAATGTTAACCTAAATTAAATTATTAATTGCATGTTTGTAATGCGAAAGCTGAAGGCTTTGTGTGCATTCACAAAATGCATGCATGTAAATGAAAAATATATAATCCTAGAAATACAATCGTTTCTGATGGTTTGTTTTTGAATATTTTGATAGGGATCTGAGATTTTTGTGTGAGAAAAATAACAATATTCAGAATTTAACACTATAGAAAGTGTAGTTCTAAATTTCTGAGGATAATATCATTCCTTTTGGCAAGGTAGAAATATTTTATACCAAAATCTTTACACAGAATAAGTTAGTGTAGCCTATAAAATAGGACATTAACATCATTAATTCATAAAACCCAATATAAATATTTGTTATCATATCCGTATCAGTTTAACAAAGATATTCTTTAAAATCTCATACTTACATTGGCATCTTTCCCAGCTAATTTACATAATTCCACCCGCTCCTTTGCAGCCGGCCAATAAATCTGAAAAACATTTTAAGTTTTGTTAGAATCGAATATCTAAGACACCCCACAATTCTAATTAGGGAAGTGTTAATTTAAATAGTGAATATCAATCCAAGAACATATTGTTAGATATGATGTAAGAAGTTTGAAATTTAAATATTTTCCAAAGTCACCCTAAAAATTTCTCCAAAAAATATATAGAGAACCATCCACTCCTGTTTATTTTACTTATTTTTACATGCACTTATTACTAGGTAAGTTATGTTGATAAAGCCATGAGTACTTATTGCAGTGTCAACAGGATTTCAGATTAGCATTTGCTTAAGTAAGAGATTTTATTTCTTACCCCATTTTTCTGTGTTTACGCAGAGTGGTGCATTATAAACACGTGCAATGAAGTGCGGGCAGGAGCCCTTTGTCACAAGCATACATTAGGACTCACTCCATGTCAAAAACCAGTGTGAGTCTATTGACAATACAGGGTGTGGCAGAGTCGATTTATAATTGTTTGTATAGAAAATAATAAAAAAATTAATAGATAATAATACAAGGAAAAAACTCTCGCATACTCACAACAGTGAATCTACTTTTGCCCCACCCTACTTAACATGAAAAGAGCTCAGATGCAATTGTCACTAAGTTAAGGATTTTATATGCATCATCTCATTTAAATCTCACAATGACCCTATGAAATAGCTCTACTTGCTTTCCATTTTCAGGTCAGAAAACGTATTCATTCAGCCACGAAATAACATGTCAAAGGCCACAAAACTAGTTTACCAGCAGAGCCAAAATATGACACAAACTGTCTCCTGAACTTACAGGGGGGAAGGGGTCCCAGCCCCTACATAATAAATATTACTGGGCAAGGCCCACAGTGTGGCTCAGTTGGTTGGGATGTCTTCTGTGCACTGTAGGGTTGAGGGTTCAATTCCCCATCAGGACACATAAATATAATTGGGCAAATAATTAAGAACAAGGGCAGCAAACTTCTTGCTTGGTAGCTTTTAATCCTATTTTAACAGTCTTGAATGTATCAAAAGAGGTTTGTTTGTTTTTATTTTGTTTTATTTTTAAACAAACTGGAAATAATGTCAGGAAGTTCTTTTGCAAAAGAAAGTTTAAACAGACAGATACAGTACTCCATTAGTTTACAGAAAGAAAGGGTCTGTGTTAAGCTATAGGCAAGAAGAAACAAGAAAAGCAAGCTCTGAATTGCTTTCAATGTTCCAAGAGTTCCTGACAAACCTTTATTATGTTTCTCACCAGTGTTCACAGAAAACATTTTAATAGATGAGGAAAAGGAAAAATACCCTGAGGGAATGCCCTGAAAGAAACTTGTTAAACCCGGAATTAACAAATGATTTAGAAATCACTGATGTTTATATGATGTTATCTTCATTGTGAAATTTTAGGGTTTTGTGTCTGAACAAGAAGGGCAGAGAATTATGCTCAAACTCTCTTAATAGCAATGAAATTATTGAGATTTTTAGATGAAGCAAGATTGTTCATTCAAAATACACCTTAACAACCTACAATCCAAAGGTGGACATAGGCTGGGTGGTTGAGCCAACAGTAGTTCAAATGACAAGCTAACTTTCAAATGGTTCACCATGAGGACCTAAAGAGGCTATTTATTCAGGCATGGCTTAAATGACTGCAATTTTACTTTCACACAATTTTAAAGAGCAGCCAGCAGTAAAACATGAATACAAAGCAATAAGGATGGATTTTAACAATTCATTATTATGTGGAACAAAAACGTACTTCTTAAATTACAGTTTGTTCCCTAGAATAACGTGAAAAACAACTAAAATACACTTTGTAGGTGAGTATATATAGACACAAAAAATATGTAAAAAGAAAAGCATGAGAATGATGAATGATTCAGAGATAGTTACCCAAGATTGAAAAATTTTTTTTTTTTAAAAAAAAGGGAAAATTGGTGGTAAGAAACTAGTTATTTACCATCTCTTAGATTTTGCTCTGGATGACACATTTTCAGGTGTTTAATACATAATTAGAAACAACTAGGTAATGTGAGTTAGTAAATACATAAACCAAAATAGTCCATGCAAAGGTCAAGGGACAATAGTCAGTCATCAACCGAGAATTATGAAGTCCTAAATAAATGAATACATGAAAAGTAAAAATAAAACACTGCAACTGGCAGGAAATTTGAAAGTTTCCTCAAGAGTTTTTTTTTTTTCATTGTGCATGTTTTTAAGCCACTAATTGGAAAAATACTGAACTGAGTGTTCTTTTTCTCTCTTTTAAAAATGGCACCTTGAATTTATTAAATTTTTGCTTCATATTTGATATTATGAACTCAAGGTATCCTCTCACTTTTTTCTTGCTAATTCTTTTAATAATTTAATTGTGATAAAGCATAACAGAATTTGCCATCTTAGTCATTGTAAGCATAGAGTTCAGTATTAAGCATATTCAGTTTGTGTAATCAATCTCCAGAATTCTTTCATTGTGCAAAACTGCAACTCTATATTTATCAATTCTTTAGTATTATAGTGATTTTGCAAAAGACAGCTTTGTATCATTGGGCTGAAGGTAAATCATACAAAGAATGCATGTCCAGCATCTCTCAATTTTAATCTTTAGCTCATTTTTTTGATCCCTAGTCTAGATTAATATTTCTTTGAGTTCTTTAGATATGTTAGATCCTGTTTTTTTATTTTATAAGATGGTCAGATTTAATCACCTTTCAGAAACAAATTTAGAACAAGTATGTATAGATTTAGTCAAACCTGAATATCTTATTGATATTAATAGCATTGAAAGAAGTGTGGAACTCTTTCACATGAAGTAAATGAGACTTAAAGGATAGAAAGGTTATCAAGAAGTTACTTAAAGATCGACAAAGTGTGAAAACAATCTCTGTATCATTTTTGACACCCAAATGAACGTTCCAAAGTTACCATAGAGTAGTTACTGATCATCGTTTGTTCATGAGTCACATGCTTATGAAGGATATGTCCAGAAAGGTGTGGCACTGAGGTGTTAAGATTTAAAAGGAAGACAGCTCTGTAAATAGATGTAGGAACTGCATCCCCACAGGAGATAAAAGTGAGAAGAGAGCAGGGAGGACGGAGCCACCATGCTCGGGGAGCACCAAAGAACACTGAGTGGTAAACGAAAGCCTTGATCGGTCTTGGCATCTGAGCCAGCGTTTTTAATTACTTGCTCTTAATAGTTTCAACACTAATGTAATAGTTTAGTTCAATAGTTTAAACTCGAATTTTGTCTTAAGAACTTGACATTAGAATAGTGATTCTAGATTCTTTTTTTCTCTTTTCAAAGGAATAGAAATATCTAAAAGATATTTTAATAGTTTTGTAAATTTTCAGTTATTCATTATAAGTCATGTAATTATAAATTGAATATGTCATCCTAGTTAATGAAGCAATAAAACTAAAATTACAAGCTCCAGTGTGGCTCAGCTGGTTGGAGCATCGTCCCATACACCAAAAGGTGGCAAGTTCATACCAGGTCAGGGCACATACCCAGAAAAAATCTTCTATTTCCTGTTTATGGAGCAGACTTTTTACCCAAGATGTTACCTCATTTTTCATCATTTACCTTCAATCCATAAAGTCTAGCACCTGTTAAAAATATAAATTATCCTTGGAACATTATTATTATGTAGGAATTTTAAGATAGTAGCACAAAGATAATTTTACTTCTTAAGCTAAAGATTAGTAGGGATTATATATTGGCTTATTTTGACACAATGTTGTCAAGAATTTAGAAATCACAAATAAAATTACCTTAGTAACAACTACCTAGAAGATATCTGATTGTCTTCCAACTCCAAACATTTACTTAAAAAGAAAAACCATTGTAGTTGTGCCAAAATTTAAAAGATATAATTTTAATTATGATTTATGTTGGAATTTTTTTTATTTGCAACCTAGTCATTAGAATAAAGGGTGTTTTTTGTGTGTTTTTAATATTCCTTTTGATTTATTTTTGACAAAAAATTAAAGAAATAGAATTTTTCTTAATTCAATCTAAAAACAGAAGAAAATAAATAAACCACACTCATATTTACATAAAGTTTGCAGAAATATGTTCAAGTAACATTTTTGTTTTCAATAATCTTGTAAAGTGATTATGTGACATACCTCTATCTCTATCTCTATCTCTATCTGAAAGCATTCCACCACTTTTATGTTTTCCTAGTCAAAGTGTGTGTGTGGGGGGGGGGGGGCACAATAGAGAAATAGACACAGAGATAGATTCATAGGTGCCTAGAGGAAGAGATGGAGATGTTAACTCTGAATGGGTATAAGATAATATAGCTTCAAGTTGCAACATCCTATATATAAAAGGCCAGTGATACTAACGACCGGAACGACCACTTGACCCATCGCTATAAGGTGCATTGACCACCTCTCAGTCCCTCCCTCTTCCCCCAGGACCCGCAGGCTCTGATGCAGCATGGCGAACAGGGAACCACGGGGAACCAGGTGGGTGGTGGAGGGGTGAAACTGGAGACTGGTGAGGTGGCAGAAGATAGCCCTGGTCACAGGCTAGGTCTAGGAACCCTACCCATGCACGATTTCGTGTGCTGGGCCTCTAGTAATTAACATAAAAGTTCAAGAAGTACCTAATATCCTGAGATTGTTTCAATAGCCCAGTCAGTACACTTTGAGATTAGTTTATTCTCAGACAGAAACCACATCTCACACTTACTCGTAAAAATACAATGTTCACAAGATCTATGAGTCTCTCTTGAACATTAAGTAAACAGTTTTGAGGCGATGATTATCATTATTCTCATTACTTTCTGAATTCATCTGCAGTAAAATGACCTCTACATTTTCTTGCCTTGTACAGCGATATCATGTCATATTAAAAGTTCCATGAAGCAGGACAAAACAAAGATGCATACCCCTCTCCCTAAAAGGTGATGAAGCCTTGCACAGTGGTAGTATTGAAAAGTCCATGCAGCTGCACCACTCCCTGGGAAATTACCCACAAATATTTTTCTTTCACTTATC